ATTTGACTGTGTAGGTGTCGACACCACAGTCCCCCAGATTTTTAATGAGAATGGTGCCCCCACTGCCATTTTGAAGTGCAGGGACACTGAATAGACATGACGTGGAGGCTGCTGGAGCATACTAATTAGCAAGCTTTGAAGCAGACACCCAACGTGTACAGGTGCTCAAAGTGACCAACTGAACTGGTGAAGCTGTAACAACTGGCTTCCTATCTTCGGTCAAAAGATACAAGTTAAAGCAGTTAGACTTGAAGTTACATGTTGCACTTAGACTGTACCAAATGTGGAACGTTAAGCCTCATTAAAATGAGAACATGCTGAGAACAGTTGTACATTAAGGGTTAATACTGTTGCTTACCTGCACAGCTCTCACTTGCCACTAGAGCACGGCTAGGAGCCAGGACACCTGTGTTCTATCCTTGCTGTCTGGGAGCAGTGCATCCTGGGATGCTGGAAGACTGCAAATTGCTTTATCTCTGCGGAGCAGACTGCTATTACCCTAACATGAGCTAGGAAGCTCAGCCCAGAGTTATCGCTTCACCTAAAGCAGCGTAACTTTGAAATTTTTAGAGGCTATGTAGCATGAGTTAACAAGCCTTAATTTATGGACACTTGCATTTAAAGTGTCTTTAGTATTGTTTATGTGTAACTTCACCCTTATTCTGAGCCAAGACGCTCATAGAAAGCATTGCAACAGTGTGATACAATCAGGTCTTGTAAAACACTTTGATCAGCTGATGTGTGGATGCAGGGTGTTGCATAAGAAAGGTTCCCTGACCTTTGCAGAAAGTTTGACCTAAGTTCTACAGATAGTGGCCTGATTCCCACAGCAGTCCAGTGAAACAATACCTTTATTCAGATTAATGTAAAGACCAATATTACACTAAGTTTACAAGTAGGTAGGACCAGTATATTTTCCCTTTTTGCATCAGATTAAGTGTTGTGTTGCAGTACATCACAACTTATTTTTAACATGCTGCAGAACTTTATATTGAATATGTGTTTAGTGTAGTGTGTAAGTTGTCAAAGGAAAACCAGAGAATTTGGCAGCTGGTAAAAGAAAAGATCTTTTGGTACACAAGATTTGGGACTGTGAGAAATGGATATGAACTGGAGGTTTCTGCTAGATGAACAATGAAACACTTACTGTTAACATTTTAAGTGCCATCATTAGGTTTCAAATGCAGCAAACCACTAAGATATATTGGGCAATTGAGACCTCTTTTGGAACAACTATTTCAAGTATTTCAGGTTCAGGCAAGTCTTCCAGGAAAGTTTTATTTACATGTGTGAGTCTAGTCACTTAATTCTGAATGAAAGTTAAGCTTCTAGTGTACATTTTGTATAGTATACAGAGTCCTCTGAAGGTGTTGTGGAAGGCTATGAACTCAAACAGTGATTTGTTAGGATAAAATTCTTCATATATAAAGGAACCAAAAATATTAAAATTTTATAATGTTATAGTGCATGTAGTAAAAGGTGAATTACTTTTTGCTTCCTTGCCACTTCTGAGTTTAAATTTTCAAACATTTGTTACTGTATTGCAGTAGGCAGAAAGGGTATATCACTAGCTCTCAACCTTTTTGGACTCAAGGCACCCCTCCATAAGTTTTATGAGTTGACTGGCACTGAATATAAAAAAGTAGTGAATATATTATAGTGCAGAACTTTGCAGGTGGCCAGACAATACAGAAGGAGGCTCGGCCAGGCAGGCACAAGCCTAAGCCTAAGGTTATCTGCTTATCTCCTCGCATCTTGCTTCTCTCCCCACACTCCACTGCAACATCCAAAAGAATCTTGTGGCACCCTGGCTGAGATTCACATGGGCAGATGCTCTCTTCTACATAAACACAAAGTAGCACAGATCCATACAGACCATTCATTCTATACACACAATCCTATTCCCATTCACCAAAAAGACACGCAATCCCAAATATCCCCTTAGGCAATAAGCCGCACGTATAGGCACATCTGTTAACTGTCTGATTTATTAAGAATCTGGAATTCTTTTTTAAAACAACAGACACAATGCTTTTCTTTCAAATAAAAATACTTCATTAAAAAAACATGAAAGAACACATAAAGAGAAAGTGTGGATGGGCCAACTCCAACTAAGTGGACTGTGCAGTGTTCACAAATGTCTGCAGATCTCCAAATCTAGTGCTAAAGAGCAATCCCATTTTAAACAGAGATACCAACCAATTCAGAGACGAGGACTGCAGATGAACTCTGTTTAAGCCAATGGTTCTCAACCTCAACAGACCTGAGGCACCCCTTGACGGAATCAAGGTGCCCCTCAACAGACTTGTGGCATTCTGTGTAAAATGCCAGCTCTTAGTTTTATATATAGCTATACACTATATCCCTGAAGTTCTTAGTTTTCACTTTTTTTTTACTATAAAAAAATAATAGAGCAATCCTTCTGCTGCAAAGAGCTCAAAAAGACCACAACAGAGTAGAATATTCATAAAGCTATGGATTCCTATTTGAAATTTCTGGGTTTGCCTTGTGAATCATGTTTGCACACCTAACCGTGCTAATATTGCACCCTTGAAAGGATCGTGAGGCATCCTGGTTGGGAATCACTTATTTAACTAATAAAATCCTTGAGAAAAGCTGAATTTGATTCCCACCCACCAGTCGGGTCATTTATGACAATGCATAGCACTTGTAAGGGACTCTATGCTTAAAATATCTCCTCCATTACACAATGGCAATGAAAGCTATTTCCTTTTTTAACTGATAAGGATGGGTTCAAAAACAGTCAGCACCATCTTTGTGGTCAGAGATCATAGAGCTCCTTATGCAGCTGTGTATCTTTACTAGGGTTATACTGGCCATCTTTAGGAAGGGGGCTCTGGATTGGCCTCTGTGTGCAGCATGGGGCAGATCTTCTAACATAGCTGAACAGGTCTCATTCAGGTAAAGGGAAATAATGAAGACTGCATTCACAGAGGCCTACACACTAAGATTTGTCCATCCTATGTGTTCGCTCATGCCTCCTTAGTGTACCTGACTCAGTGAAGGAATGACCACAGTAAGCACAAGAATAGGGTTTCTCCCCAGTATGGATCCGTTGGTGGCGCTGTAGCGATGCCAGGCGTGTGAAAGTCCCTCCACACTCTTCACAATAGAAAGGGCGCTCTCCAGAATGAGTCTGCTGGTGCCTTTTTAGTCTAAGTAGTTGGACAAAGGCCATGCCACATTCCTGGCATTTATATGGTTTGTCTTGCCGGTGGATCACCTTATGTTTGGATAGCAGATTGGGTTTACGGAAACCTTTGCCACATGTGGGGCAGATATAACATTTTGACTCTTCTTCCCCAGACTTCTGGTTTTCTGAAAACTGTTGATCACTGTCCCCATTACCATGCTGGTTTCGGTGCACAGTGGACCATGGGTTCCTAACCATACCACTTCCCAAAATTACCATAGAGCGCTCTATCTTGTGTACGTTGCGTAGGTGCCTCCAGACATCAGCCGTGCGGATGAAACCTTTGTCACACTCTGGACATTTGTGCGGCCTTTCACTAGAATGAATGAGCTTATGCATTCGTAAGTTTGCAGCTCGGAAGAACTCCTTGCCACAGACTGGGCATCGATATGAATTCTCTGTCAAGTGGATTTGCTTGTGTTCCTGTAATTCACTCAGGTCCTGAAAAGAAGTACCACACTTCTTGCATCGATAAGCTTCTCCAGAGATGGGCTCTAGTTCCTCCTCATCAAAATCCTCAATCAGAATGGTGTTTTCATCATCCTCACTTAATCCACCCTGAGGTTCCTCTGACTGCTCTGAGGAATAGAGTTCCAGATCCTCATCTTCACATTGCAGGTCAAAGTTGGTGCTGGAGGTGACAAAGACCCCAGTTGTGGTCTCACCTCTCTTCTGATAATAGGTCTCATAAGTTTCTTCATCTTCACACTGTAATTCTACAGGGAGTTCTTGCTTACCTGAAGGTCCAGCAGGGCTGCAACTACAACTGGATGGTTGTGAGTAGTCTACCTCAACCTTGAGCTGAAGACTAGATTTACAAGCTCCCTGGTCAGAGGTCTGGCTGGACTCATCTGAATGCTCTTCACCTGTGTCACAAGTGTCATTATCAGACTCCCAGTCCGCCTCCACATCCATCCTGTGATGTCATGCACTGTTTTCACATATGGCTTAGTTGGGTGTAAGCTCACCAGGAACTTAAGAGTCTTTCATGGCTGGTCCGCAGTTCATATCACAGCCTTCCCTAAAAAAAATACAGGATTATTTCAGAGATCACTATAGTAGAGCTCCTTTTCTGGTGAACAGAGTAGTATCATGAATATGTACATTAGTTTCATCATGGAAGAAACTGACTCATTATATGGCTATGGTCATATGGAATGTTTCTAAACTTTCATAACATTAAATTCTTTACTTAGTTGGATCTTACTGCAAATTAAAAAATATAATAAAATCATTTCAGGCTGATGTCACCTTAGAAAAAAGATTTAGCATGCATCTTCTACTCTGAGTATTTGGTTATCTGAAATTAGGTCTTGAGTTTCCCCTTCTTTCATAATTTAGAAATTATTCCCACATTTATTTGTACTCAACTCTTCTCCACATTTATGTTGCCATCAGATGTGATTTCTCTTAGGTCTGAGACCCAGACATGCAAGTAGCTCAAAATACAACAACAACAGATGTTTCTGCTATTTCCTCCGTGTATCCTGACCAAATGTGCATTGCTGTTGGGCATTTTGTATGTCTAGATTTTCCCCCATGCCTTCCTAAAATAGGCTGTCCGACTTCTGGCCCATTCAAGTTATTTGGGAGTCTAATTCAAGTTTTAAATAATTGAAACTGTATCCACTCAAGATGCTAGTGCTTACTGACTATGTTGCTTTGTATATTATTTGGCCTATTTATTTTCCAAGCATTCTGGTGCAGAAACCTCAGATAATTCCAGGTTCCCATGAGCAAACTACAGATTTCTCGTTTCTTTCAAGAAGGTTTGGAATTGAGATACTCAAACTCAATACACTGAAACCTTAAGGTTCACCACCTTATGCCCCACCTGAAGGTTAATATTAGCACTGTTTTTACGTTGCAAGGGAGAATGGATTTTCCATGAGTGAAACTAGGTGTAACAGCCACAGGCATTATCTTTCTGATGCTGATTGCATAACACACGCAGAGAGATCCAGCAATAGTAAGTAAATCAAATAACCAACCCTGTAGCAATAAGCAGCTGTATGCGGAGGCGGAGCCCAAAGAAGCTGTATGTGCACATACTGCTCCCTTACAGGTCATCTGAGACAATGAAGCACTGTGATTGCTTTGGCCCATCACCACAGCTCATAATTATGAAGCTCTTCAGGACTTTCCAGACCACTCGACAACAATCAGCTGGCACCACATAGAGAAGAAAGAGACATAATTCTGGAGAAATAATTTGTCAGAGAAAAAGGTACAACTACAGAAATAATACAAGTCAGATACAACTACAGGAAATGGCTAGGCTGCAATGGGCAAATAATTTTGGTAAAAAGCTGGCAAAGTAAGATGAGGATGGTAATACAAGACAAATTCATTCCTCAGAATGAGGTGTTTTGATCAAGAATTCTATGTTAGAAAAATAACAATAATCTTTAAGGCTGTTATTCTTGTATGTTGTTCTGTCGGACCCTATACACACTATAGGCATAAGAATTCTCTACAGCTGGCCACCCAGAATATCTTTAAATTTCCTGGAAAAGCTCTCTTTACAAATGGCACTGGACAGGAGCTGTCTGAACTGACCCAGAGGAATCTCTCTGAACCACATGAAATTCTTGCAAGGAATGTGCCGATATCAAGTGTAGTTTAAAACAGCGTCTCTCAACCCATGGGTCGCGACTCAAAAGTGGGTTGCAAAAATATATGAAAGAGTCATGAACAAATTTAAAAAATGGGTCAACAAACTTTAAAAATGGAGAAAAATGTGGGAGACCGTGGCTTTTCTCTTGCAAGCTGTCAGAGTTCTGGTCTGCAAGGGGTTGCTTGGTGCCTCCCCTGCCCCAAACACTGAGGGGCTGGGGCCTAGGGGGTAGTGGGTCGGGAGCGAGGGACAGTGGGTCAGGACTGGCCATTGATGTTTACAAATGAGTGGTCTCATAGTCACCCAAGATATGTCTGCATGGCATAAGGCAGTGCTGTGCAGACACCAGAGCCAACCCTGGAAACAGAAGCAGTATAGCAACAGCAGTGCAGTACTGTCCCCTGACTATCTAAGTCAGGGTTGTCTACATTTTGGGGAACTAGAGACTACAGACATAGGATCCACGCACCACACAGGCCACAGACCTAAGCAGGTGGGCAGGCGCTCTACAGTTCCCTCCCAACATGCAATCTGAAGAGTGCTCTGCCTGACCCTTCTTGCACAAGGCTGCTTGCACAGCTCCCCCACACCCATGCAGCACAGGCAGCCCGGCCCTACCCACATAGTACCTAGGGAGAGTGGTCTGCATGCACAGTGAGCACAGCTGGAAGTGGGGAGGGAAGTCAGGCAGCCCAGTACCCCTTCCATGCTGAATACATAGTACAAGCAGCCTAGATCTACCCCTGGCTATGAATGCCACACAGGCACCTTCCCCGACCCCCACATCCCCATACACGCCATGTGCACAGTACCCTGCCATGTGCACAGAACCCACCCATGCCTGCTCTCCTGGCTTCATGTACTACCCCCCTGCAGCTCAGGCAGCCTGGCTCCCTTGCTGCCAGCAGCTTGGGCACTCCAGCTCACTCCTGGCCACTGGGGCAGGAGCAACTGATGGTAGGGAAGTGGCAGCTGGAAGCCCACAGGTTGCATGTGAACCCTTTAGGAGCCATAGTCTGCCAGCTGGACAGCCATGAACTAGGAAACAGTGCTCACCAGCCTGGTCCCAGCACCACACTCCTGTGGCTATATTGCTTCCAAAACTGGGAATTTCAAGTAAGTTGGCTGGTGACAGATGAAGTTCTACAATAACCTGATTTATGGAAACATTACCTCCAGGTACCGAGAGACAATATATCCTCATCCATGGATACGCTTTTGGAACCACGTGTAATCAATACAGAACTTCACAAACTGTCTTTCTTTATATACGGAGATAAATCTAGCTTTGTTTTCATAAACCTTCATTATGTGCATGTCCTGTCAATTATCCCTTCAGTTGAATACTTATGCTTCCCTACATGTACTTCTTTCCCTCCTACTGCATTCTTTTCTATGGTCTTTCCATTTCCTCATTCCCCTCTTCAAGCCACTGTCTTATCTCCTCCTACACAGCCAAACACCTCACAGGACATATTCCAAAGCGGTAAACTGTTTCATTTTGTAGGAACTTGCCCTGAACCTGCCTGACCCAATGATGCACATGGCTTGTTCCCCACTGCAGGCATTAGGTACAGTTTTTCAGGGCAGAGTCGCTGAAAGTTCTGCTCATAGTAGAACCTTAGAGACTAACACATTCAGAAAGGCATAAGCTTTTGTCTATCAAAGCAATGGCTGGCACCTATGATTGCTTATGCCTCTCTGACCA